CACTCGTATGCACAAGATTAAAGTTTCTTTTATGGATGGAAATGCCCTTTGGTATATGCTTTAAATTGTTAGTTTTATTACCTTTTAGTCATCTGTCCTCCTTGGTTTATATATATAGGGAAATAACACTTCTGACTATGTTTTGTCCATTTTCAGGAATTAATAATTCAAACTTGGTTCAAATAATTATAATGAAATTGAAATCAAATAGTATCAGAAAGTAAGATCCTGACCTATTCCAGGGGTTGGCCAAAGAGGAAAATTGGTTTAATGACAATATCTATTATATTTCTCAATAGCAAACTAATTTATTTGAATATTTTTTTAAGTTCCTATCATTTGGTGACATGACAAGGATTGTATTTCACTTTGTTTACATGTTGATTTCCACATCATATCTCATCAATGAAATTGAGCTACCAGTACCTATAATATAACTCAGGTGACTGCTAAGACCCTTGGGCAACTAGTTTTAAGTTTCTGCCAGTATGTGTCCCTTTGATCATTATTTATGGTGAATAAAGGGCCATAACTATGTATATAGAGAGGAGCACAAAACACAATATAGATATGCAACATTCCGCCTGCTAAATGTACATAAGTATAACAAATTTGGTGAATGTTGATAAACCTACAAATCTTGATGATAGCGCGCAGTCAGGTTTCGGATGGATTTTTTCAAATACGTGTATTTTAAAAAATTACAATGGATTTGCAAAACACCTTGTCGATGAGAGTTTACTGACCGTTATAAAGACTGCTAGACGGGAATAAATGTATGTCTTCAAAACGAAGCCAATTGTGATAATCCTGGCCTGCCCAGTTTGTCAGGTGAAGTTCCCATTAAATAATTCTCTGGTCTCCGATCCTCTTTATTGTCTACTGCGACGTAAGCAGACATTATCAGAAAGGAGTACCTATATTGTAATTGGAGTTCCTATATTGTAAGTGTAGTACCTTTATTGTGAGTGGAGTACCTATATTGTAATGGAGTACCTATATTGTAATTGGAGTACCTATATTGTAAGTGGAGTACCTATATTCTAAGTTGAGTCCCCATATTCTAAGTGGAGTACCCATATTGTAAGTGGAGTACCCATATTGTAAGTGGAGTACCCATATTGTAAGTGGAGTACCCATATTGTAAGTGGAGTACCCATATTGTAAGTGGAGTACCCATATTGTAAGTGTAGTACCTACATTGTAAGTGGAGTTCCTATATTGTAATGGAGTACCTTTATTGTGAGTGGAGTACCTATATTGTAATGGAGTACCTATATTCTAAGTTGAGTACCCATATTCTAAGTGGAGTACCCATATTGTAAGTGGAGTACCCATATTGTAAGTGTAGTACCTTTATTGTGAGTGGAGTACCTATATTGTAATGGAGTACCTTTATTGTGAGTGGAGTACCTATATTGTAATGGAGTACCTTTATTGTGAGTGGAGTACCTATATTGTAATGGAGTACCTTTATTGTGAGTGGAGTACCTATATTGTAATGGAGTACCTTTATTGTGAGTGGAGTACCTATATTGTAATGGAGTACCTTTATTGTGAGTGGAGTACCTATATTGTAATGGAGTACCTATATTCTAAGTTGAGTACCCATATTCTAAGTGGAGTACCCATATTGTAAGTGGAGTACCCATATTGTAAGTGTAGTACCTACATTGTAAGTGGAGTTCCTATATTGTAATGGAGTACCTTTATTGTGAGTGGAGTACCTATATTGTAATGGAGTACCTATATTCTAAGTTGAGTACCCATATTCTAAGTGGAGTACCCATATTGTAAGTGGAGTACCCATATTGTAAGTGTAGTACCTTTATTGTGAGTGGAGTACCTATATTGTAATGGAGTACCTATATTGTAATTGGAGTACCTATATTGTAAGTGTAGTACCTTTATTGTAAGTGGAGTACCTTTGTTGTAAGTGGAGTACCTATATTGTAAGTGGAGTACCTTTATTGTAAGTGGAGTATTTATATTGAAGGTGGAGTACCTATATTGTAAGTGAAGTACCTATATTGTAAGTGGAGTACCTATATTGTAAGTGGAGTATTTATATTGAAGGTGGAGTACCTATTTTGTAAGTAGAGTACCTATAGTGTAAGTGGAGTACCAGTATTGTAAGTGGAGTACCTATGTTGTAAGTGAAGTACCTATATTGTAGGCGGAGTACCTATATTGTAAGTGGAGTACTTATATTGTAAGTGGAGTACCTATATTGTAAGTGGAGTACTTATAATGTAAGTGAAGTACCTATATTGTAAGTGTAGTACCTATATTGTAAGTGTAGTACATATATTGTAAAAATTGCTGAAAATTTCCTCTTTCACGACTTGAACAAAATTGTGTTTTTCCCTCCACAATTCGACTCTGGAACCAGTTAAACCTTGATATAAGACACAGCGTTTCATGTACTGTTTTTTAAAGATACTCTTTGTATGCTAAATACAGTACAATTCCCTATAAATTATCTTATTGGTGATCGAAAAGTAATATTTTACACACCAAACTGAGAACTTAACTCTAGTATACTAAACAATCACGTATCTCATGCTATTTTAATAGATGTTTAGCACTGTCAATGTGGACATCCTTTCGAAGATGTACGTTTACATATATTTTCTTTTATATTTGTAATATTTATGCGGATCAGAGAATTTAACTCTACAAATTAAATGATTTCCTTCCGCTTGACTTTCAGACTGAGAATATGTAGAAAGTCGACATCAATCTGCCGCCACACCAAGGTACGTGTACTTCCAGAACATGTGACTGTTGTTATAATTCATTTAAAAATGAGAAGTGCGAAGAGTTTCTCATGTTCCTGTATTCGTGTGCCTGATGTTTTTTTTGTAAATTTTACCACCAGAGACTTAAGTTAAAAGAACAACAAACAAAGTTATAAAAAGTATACAATTTTAATTAATACGACTATACTAAAATAAGATCTGCACAGCAGATCAGTAATAAAAAATAAATAAAAAAAATAAAAAAAATATTAACTATAAATATAAACAACCACGCCAGATATACACTTACACACCAAATATAAACGTACACGCCAGATAAACCCTTACACACCAAATATGAACTTACACACCAAATATGAATTTACACGCAACCTATAAAAATGTACATAAAATATTTGCTTGAGATATCAACTGATGCATCAAATATTAAATTGCAGCCCAGATATACACTTACACGCCAAGTATAAACTTACACACCAATTAAAAAAGTTACATGATGGCATTTAACCTACGAAGATTGTACCCAGTACCACACACTGCGTGCGTTATTGTATCGGTATTTCGGACAAGCGTAACAGATGGGAGAGAGAGAGAGAGAGAGAGAGAGAGAGAGAGAGAGAGAGAGAGAGAGAGAGAGAGAGAGAGAGTAAGAAGTCAACAAATATCAACCTGAACGTCACCACACCAAGGTACTGTGGTACTATTAGACACGGACAAACATGCAGACAAACAGGCCGACAGAAATATCGGACTACACAACAGATAAGAAAGAGCTTTAGTCAAATGGCAAACGTTCTGACAGTCAAAATGATGTACGTACGACTCTGAGTGTCAACAACCACCAAGTACTGTGGTAAGCTTATTCCTTGGACATATATATATTTACACACAGATATACACAGACAAACATGCAGACAGACAGACACACATGAGGACAGACAGACAAACATGCAGACAGGTCAAAACAAACCTGCGGACAGACAGACAAACATGCGGACAGACAGACACACATGAAGATAGACAGACAAACATGCAGACAGGTCAAAACAAACCTGCGGACAGACAGACATGTTGGTCAATATACAAAGAGATGACAGAACTTTGCAATAAACATATACACGTGCATCTGACAACTTGTTATTCTGTGTGGACAAGCAAACATTTGTCCGACAACGCCTTTAACGATATTGCCATTCCCCTCGCCCATGTTTCCTTAAAATTAAAAAAGTCTCTTTCCGTCCAATATTGTCAGAAACATTATCGGATCAACAACTTCTTGGCCTTTTGCAAGGGATAGGAACTTCTTCCTCGTCATCATAAGCGATTCGTCTCTTTAGGCCCCTGTGTCTGCTGTTGTTAATATACGTGTAACCACGCCCACTGTTCATAACACTGTCCAACTCTTCATCGTCTTGTGTCGTATCTAACACAACTCCTATGTCAGTCTCGGGAGTGAACTGTTGAGGATGCCAGCAGGTCGTATCCAGTGACTTGTTCAAGGAAGGTCGTTGGTCAGTCGTACACACTGTGTCCAGATTTGCTGGTTTGACCTGTACGCAGGTCCTGCATGTAGTCCGACCAGCCTCAAACCAGAATGGCGTTGGTTCTTTGTAGTGGTCACTGACTTTGAGAGTGTAATCCCCCTAAAATGACGATAAGAAATATNTAGCAATACAAGGGTTAAAAATTGACTAGCATTGTTCAGTTCACATGCAACGTATTTGATATATTGTTTTTTTCTTTTCTCGTTATCAATTGGACATTTACCCTCCCCAAGAACACTAGAATGTCATTTTGTCAAATCCTTATTCGGTATTTATTGAGCTTAGCGACAACTAAATCCCTGGTATTTGGCGAAGTTAAAAAACATACGTAAAAGACTGGACGATAAATGTTGGAAACCGTTNAGAGACGTATCTGTCTGAACCTATTAGCTATATATTTGGTCTTAGCGGTGCTGTCAGAGGTTCCGTAGCATTGACATCGTCATCTTTATATTTATAAGGTATTTAACTATTGTTTCGATATAGAACGTCAGTAGTATATAACATTTATAGTATATTTCATGACCGTTTTGTTATCGAGATCTTGCACACAGAGAATGATTACGTCACAATTTGTGGTGTTCGCACTCGATCTTGTTTGGGTCTCCTCATACTATGACTGTTTATGNAAGCAGACCGGCTAGTATATATGACTGAGTTACAAATTCCTAAAATTCAACACAGATAGATTGAATTTCAAAATATTGATCGACTGTATTCCTTGACCCTTACCAAGGAGGTTTGGTCGCTGGACCAAGGATAGTCCTGTGCTTAATATCACAAGGGACGCTGTCTGGGACACTTGAAATCTCCTTAAGAGGATGGAGAGAAGTGAGGAGAGAAAGTAGAAGGTAGAGAAACAAATAGGACAGAAAGAAAGTAGACAAACATAAAATAAGTACCAGTAAGAAAAATAATCACGAATTGAAAAGAAAAGACACAATTAAAACAACGGATTGGAGAACCACAACAGACACACAAGCTAAGACAATTAGGATACACTGTATTACAATACAAGCAATTAGGATACACTGTATTACAATACAAGACATTAGGATACACTGTATTACAATACAAGACTTTAGGATACACTGTATTACAATACAAGACATTAGAAAACACTACATTACAATACAAGACAGAATACATTGCATTACAATTTACAATACAATACAATACATAACAGTAACGAAGCTGAAGAATTCATTAAGCATCGGGAAAACCTTTAAATACCTTTAAAGGTGAACAGAACGAATTCCTGGATTCATTGTAGACAGGTTTGTCATCACATGTATGACTGGTTTTCTTGATGACGTCAGAGGTATGAACAGTCGTACGGGTATTTGTGCTATCGGAGAAGGAACGTTTCTGTAGGCAGAAAATGACATATAATACATAATATATCAGTGACAAATTTAATTCAATAAAATTTAGTTATAAGGAGCCGTTCGGATTGTGAATGAAAGATGTTTCATCTCTGTGTAGTTACAGTATAAACAGAATCCGTAAAAGTTTAAAAACTATTTGTATTCTTGCATTATGAACCAAACCGGATATATATGTACCTTTAAAAATCCAGCAAGTTGAGACATGACAGCCTTTGTTTGTGATTTGTCTGAATACTGCTGGACCTTAGAACTCTGAAAAACATACAATTTATTATTTATTTATCCACTCATTCGCTGTTTTTACAATGGAATTCGGATAAGATTGTCTGTGTAATGATATTTGAAATTAGAAAAATTATTGAACACACCTTATAACATAGAAAAGGACATATATATATTATATTTTTGGCAGATCTCTCGTATAGAAGACAACTACCTGTTTGTTTGTCGTAGCTTCCTGACATTTGGGTTTGGACCCATGAAATCTGTCTGGAACAGATGTCGTCACAGGTTTGGGTTCCGACCAACAACAGTGATTGTGAATGACTTGGCGCTGGCAGCTATCGTTTGTCAGGACAACTTTCTGTTAATACAAATATATATATAATTTTTAGATATAAAATGTATAAATTGTGAAATCGGTTAAGAATTCATGTTTTAAATCTTTCCCGCGCCATAACATCGAAGACCGTTTCTCCAGCGATATCGTATATATAAGGGAGGTGACCGTGTAAGTATTACCTAAATAGCAGTTATCTTTGCGGCAGAAATACAATGTGTCAGAGCTGGAGTGTGTTCAATACTTCAAGGATTTCCTCCCACCATGAAACATTTTAAATAATTTCGTCCAAAATCCTAATGAGATTTATACATTTCCCACATTGTTTAAAATTGCAATTTTGTTTTCTTAATCACTTACCAAAGTGTCGTCCATCCTGGTCAAGCGAATCTGTTTACGACCTTGTGGTTGTTGGTCGTCTGGGCGGCGTGGTCGCCATTGTCTTTTCTTGGTACGAACGTTCTCCATTACTAGACTGAAGAAAGAAAAATACCACATGAGATTGAATTAAGAATCTCTGTGAAAAAAACTGTTATAAGACAATAGTGTGATGTCAACAACATAATACCACCAGCCATAATATAACGGTGTAATTTGTTGTCGACCGTGAGAAATGGATTGACTGAAGTTAAAAATGTTGTTTTCGGTTCTTTTTAATAGCAATATTAACCATTTCAGTATATAACATACGCAACAGGTATTCAGTTTCACCAAAGCTCCTTAATCAAGGAAAATGTCTTTAGTTTATTCCATAGTAAATCGGCCTAATAAACAGACGTCACGCGGGTACTGTAGGCCTATCAAGACTCCCCGTCACTCCCCACCCCATCCTTCCTCAACTACACGTCTGTATCACCTCAATTTTAAACACATTTTCCCGACACAATTCTTCACAGAATTTAATAATTTTACTTCACACGAGACACTTACCTAGATAACTTTGTCTGTGACGATCGTTGAGAGTTGCTGGAAACAAAACTTGGAGAAATCAGAGAAAATAGTGAGAGCGAAATATATCGTGACCGAAGTCGTGTGCCTCGTTGATAGAGATAACACATGACAACAACAGATGACGTCATAATCAATTTGACGAAACTTCCGGTTTTTCGGACACACGTGACAGTTCACTGTGACACGTTTCCGGTGTTCCATATTAGGTTAACTTGGTCATAAAGGGACTCAGGATAGCTTTAGTTCGATAATGATCCTGGTACGATAACTATAAATATTCGTTGCATAAACCCAGGTTCATTTATTTATTCTGAAACTAAATAGAGACTAAATATATTTCTATTATACATCTGTGCTTCGAAACTACAGATTTGTTTTTATATTAGTCGGATTACACAGATTCTCGAAGGTCGGAATACACAGGTTCCCATAGGACCGCACTCTCCTCCCCCGTGAGATTAAACATATTGGTCAGACTGACTGGAATACTTGGAATATTATATTGTTAAATGAGATGTAATGTGACACCCTGTTTAATCAGACCAATTTGTTGTGTCCCACAAGGTGTCGTATTACACAAGGTTTTTTAGTAAAGCTAATAATGCTCTCCACTGACTCAAAACAAACTATTCACTAAGAGTACTTTCTATACCCTGTAAATATCAGGCGCGTACACAGGTGAATCCACTGAATTTTCAAACAGAAAAATAAAACAAGAAAATGACTAAATGTTGCCTGAGGCCGAAGTGTTATGTTGAACCCTCGGACCAAACTGTTGCCTGAGGCCGAAGTGTTATGTTGAACCCTCGGACCAAACTGTTGCCTGAGGCCGCATGTTGACCGAAAACTCAGTCTACAAATGTATAGTGCTTTCGTATTACGTTTGTACTGTAAACGTTTATGTCGTCAACAGATTAAGGAAACAACAACGCCCACCTGTGGTTAGGCGACAGTTAACATATGTTCCGTGGTTTAGGAAACACGTGGTTTTAGTGACAGAAATACAAAACCCGTAAGAAATGGAGGTACGCTTGTTTTGAAGTAGTCATGGAGATACACGAGTGATATATGAGGAATTGTACACTTTTCTTAAACAATAATATTTAGTTTATCGTAGCTTTATATCAATGTTGACGACGGGGGATATGCCGCCCTCATGGCTGTTTTGGGGGTTGGGGGGGTGG